ATTTTGAATTTGATTCCCCAAAATTTAATCCCACCCCTCTCCCAAACACCCTAGCATTTACTTCCTTTACAACCCCATCTATAAACATATTAAACAACCATGGTGACATTACACATCCCTGTCTAAGACTTACTTTTACCGGGAAGTAGTCTCCCTCTCTTCTACACACCCTAACCTGAGCCTCACTATCCTCATAAAAATTCTTTACAGCATTTAGTAACTTACCACCTATTCCATATACTTACAACATCTGCCACATTGCTCCCCTATCCACTATCATATGCCTTTTCTAAATCCATAAATGCAATAAAAACTTCCCTACCTTTATCTAAATACTGCTCACATTTATGCTTCAATGTAAACACGATCTACACATCCCCTACCCACTCTGAAGCCTCCCTGCTCATCCGCAATTCTACATTCTGTCTTGCCTCTAATTCTTTCAATAATAACCCTACCGTACACTTTTCCTGGTATACTCAGTAAACTTATTCCTCTATAATTTTTACAATCTCTTTTGTCCCCCCTCTCTTTATATATAAATGGACTATACACGCTCTCTGCCAATCCCTAGGTATCTTCCCCTCTTTCACACATTTATTAAACAAAAATACCAACCACTCCAACACTATGTCCTCACCTGCTTTTAACATTTCTGTCATGATCCCGTCAGTTCCAGCTGCTTTACCACTTTTCATTCTACGTAATGCCTCACGCACCTCCCCCACACTCTCATCCTGCTCTTCTTCACTCCTAAAAGATGATATACCTCCCTGGCCAGTGCATGAAATTACCGCCTCCCTTTCTTCGATGACATTTAAAAGTTCCTCAAAATATTCTCGCCCTCTACCCAAAACGTCCATCTCCCCATCTACTAACTCCCCTTCTCTCTTTTTAACTGATAAATCCATTTGTTTCCTAGGCTTTCTTAACACTTTCAGGGTCCGTCCCATAGATCTACGGCTTTATGTTCAGGGTCCAAACTGTAGATCTACGTCATGAGCTCAGCTCACCCTGATAAACTGTGAGTGGTACATTTGGGCCTAGATATGAGAGAATACATCTATGTGGTATGTGTGCACCACATAAAACAGATCCTGCAGCACACTGTATAATGAGAGAAAAAAAAACTGAAATCATGCCTTTTCGATTAAAACAGCGACTTCGCAGTGTTTTTCCGTGTGTTTTTTATAGTTGTATTTGCGATTTCTTGGTCTCATTTGATAGAATGGAAGACACATTACAGAAAGAGAGATGATTTTGATTGGTTTTAGCACTGGAAATGGCTTGAAACCGAGCTCAAAGTAGCAGAAATGTTAAATTTTTGCCAATATTCAAAAGTAAACAAACGACCTCACACATCTAATACACGCCAGCTGGTGGGTCTAATATACATTCACAAATATGGTGATGATATTTATACAATTATTACAGTATTGCATAACAGTAAATCTTCTATTTTTTGGTGTGAATAAAAATTCATCATGTGAATAAAAAATCAAAATGGAATTTATTTGTAAAGTCTCAAAATGTAACTAATGAACAGAGGAAATGTTAGTTTAGTTCCAGGAATACCTACATTGTTTATTCTGGACCCTATTTTGAAATTGGAATATTTTGAACTTTGTGTTAAATTGGCCAAATTAACAATTTCCGATCACTTCAATTTGTAGTTGAAACAGTTGACCTGGTGATTTCTTGTGCTCAATCGATAGAATAGAAGTAATACTAGTGAAATAGCTAAGAATTTGGTTGACTGGAATAATGTAATTGGCCTAAAATGGGAGTCAAAGTTGGCAAAATCGCCGATTAGTAAATATCGTTGACACATCAAAATTCGCAAGAGCATAATTTCGTAAATTTTCCATCAAATTTCGTACTTTTTGTTTTATTACCTTCACAAGAAGATTCTCTACCATTTTATAAGAAAAATAACAATTTTTGTTTTTTTTTAAATTCTTGGACACTGGGGCACCACTTCAGATTTGGGCCTTGGACCCTGAAGGGGTTAACTTGTTTAACCCACTCCAAAATTGTTTCTTATTTTCATTAGAATTTCTTGACAGTACCTCTCCCACTATCATCCGCTCTCCTTTTGCACTCTCTCACCACTCTCTTCACCTTTCTTTTACTCTCCATATACTCTGCTCTTCTTACAACACTTCTGCTTTGTAAATACCTCTCATAAGCTAACTTTTTCTCTTTTATCACACCCTTTACTTCATCATTCCACCAATCACTCCTCTTTCCTCCTGCACCCACCCTCCTATAACCACAAACTTCTGCCCCACATTCTAATACTGCATTTTTAAAACTACTCCAATCCTCTTCACCCCCCCCCCCCCACTACTCATACCTGCACCAGCCCACCTTTCTGCCAATAGTTGCTTATATCTCACCCGAGCTTCCTCCTCCCTTAGTTTATACATTTTCACCTCCCTCTTACTTCTTGTTGCCATTTTCCTCTTATCCCATCCGCCTCTTACTCTAACTGTAGCTACAACTAGATAATGATCCGATATATCAGTTGCCCCTCTATAAACGTGTACATCCTGGAGCCTCCCCATCAACCTTTTATCCACCAATACATAATCTAAAACTACTTTCATTACATGCTACATCATACCTTGTATATATATTTATCCTCTTTCATAAAATATGTATTACTTATTACCAAACCTTTTTCTACACATAGCTCAATTAAAGGCTCCCCATTTTCATTTACCCCTGGCACCCCAAATTTACCTACTACTCCCTTCACATTTTTTCCCACTTTAGCATTAAAATCCCCAACCACAAGTACTCTCACACTTGGTTCAAAACTCCCCATGCAATTACTCAGCATTTCCCAAAATCTCTCTCTCTCCTGTATACTTCTCTCTTTCCCAGGTGCATAAACACTTACTATAACCCACTTCTCACATCCAACCTTTATTTTACTCCACATAATCCTTGAATTAATACATTTATAGTCCCTCTTTTCCTGCCATAGCTTATCCTTCAACATTATTGCTCCTTTAGCTCTAACTATTAGAAACCCCTGACCTAATCCCATTTATTCGTCTCCACTGAAACTCACCCACCCCCTTCAGTTTTGTTTCACTTCAAGCCAGGATATCCAGCTTCTCATTCATAACATCCACAATCATCTCGTTCTTATCATTCGCACAACATCCATGCACATTTAAACTTCCCACTTTGACAATTTTCTTCTTCTTTTTAGTAATTTTTACAGGAAAAGGGGTTACTAGCCCACTGTTCCTGGCATTTTAGTTGACTTTTACAACATGCATGGCTTACAGAGGAAAGATTCTTATTCCACTTCCTCATGGATATAAAAGGAAAAGTAATTAGAACAAGAACTAAGATAAAATCAAAGAAAACTCAGACGAGCGTGTATAAATAAATGTGTACACGTATGTTTAGTGTGACCCAAGTGTAAGTAGAAGTAGCAAGACGTACCTGTAATCTTGCATGTTTATGAGACAGACAAAAAGACACCAGCAATCCTACCATCATGTAAAACAATTACAGACTCTAGTTTTACACTCACTTGGCAGAATGGTAGTACCTCCCTGGGTGGTTGCTGTCTACCAACCTACTACACATAAATGTAATTTTCTGTGTCGCCAGTGTTTAGTGAATCTAGGCTCGTCTGGTCCAAGGCACGATAAGCAGTCTTTGAGAAGTGCGCTGTTGCCAAGACTGTACTCTACACAGTTATTTTATTTTTTTATTATCACACTGGCCGATTCCCACCAAGGCAGGGTGGCCCGAAAAAGAAAAACTTTCACCATCATTCACTCCATCACTGTCTTGCCAGAAGGGTGCTTTACACTACAGTTTTTAAACTGCAACATTAACACCCCTCCTTCAGAGTGCAGGCACTGTACTTCCCATCTCCAGGACTCAAGTCCGGCCTGCCGGTTTCCCTGAATCCCTTCATAAATGTTACTTTGCTCACACTCCAACAGCACGTCAAGTATTAAAAACCATTTGTCTCCATTCACTCCTATCAAACACGTTCACGCATGCCTGCTGGAAGTCCAAGCCCCTCTCACACAAAACCTCCTTTACCCCCTCCCTCCAACCTTTCCTAGGCCGACCCCTACCCCGCCTTCCTTCCACTGCAGACTGATACACTCTTGAAGTCATTCTGTTTCGCTCCATTCTCTCTACATGTCCGAACCACCTCAACAACCCTTCCTCAGCCCTCTGGACGACAGTTTTGGTAATCCCGCACCTCCTCCTAACTTCCAAACTACGAATTCTCTGCATTATATTCACACCACACATTGCCCTCAGACATGACATCTCCACTGCCTCCAGCCTTCTCCTCGCTGCAACATTCATCACCCACGCTTCACACCCATATAAGAGTGTTGGTAAAACTATACTCTCATACATTCCCCTCTTTGCCTCCAAGGACAAAGTTCTTTGTCTCCACAGACTCCTAAGTGCACCACTCACTCTTTTTCCCTCATCAATTCTATGATTCACCTCATCTTTCATAGACCCATCCGCTGACACATCCACTCCCAAATATCTGAATACGTTCACCTCCTCCATACTCTCTCCCTCCAATCTGATATCCAATCTTTCATCACCTAATCTTTTTGTTATCCTCATAACCTTACTCTTTCCTGTATTCACCTTTAATTTTCTTCTTTTGCACACCCTACCAAATTCATCCACCAATCTCTGCAACTTCTCTTCAGAATCTCCCAAGAGCACAGTGTCATCAGCAAAGAGCAGCTGTGACAACTCCCACTTTGTGTGTGATTCTTTATCTTTTAACTCCACGCCTCTTGCCAAGACCCTCGCATTTACTTCTCTTACAACCCCATCTATAAATATATTAAACAACCACGGTGACATCACACATCCTTGTCTAAGGCCTACTTTTACTGGGAAAAAATTTAAGACATTTGTGAGGAACATAAATGAACTTGGATCCCATAAATGAATAAAAACTGATCTCTGCACTCATCTTTTCATACTTTTTTAGACTTTGGTGGCTCCTGAGCTTTATTGAGAATGGTGTCTAGGCATTCATTTAATCTGCCACGAACACCAGGGTCATCTGGTGGTGGATAGTGTTGGAGAAGCCGCAGCAGCTTCACCGATAGCCAAGGAGCAGGAACAAAGTAGTACGTATAGTCTTGTAGATCTGTGTAACTTGCTGTTACTATCTGTAGTAATAAAAAATACAGTATATTAAAACATTATTTTTTAACAGTTTAGTTTATCCATACACCCTTTCTTTCAAGAATGATGATTAAAAAAATATAGGTAAACAACTTCTCTTCAACTATATTCTATGCCTAGCTAATGAAAAACTATCAGCTCTGCAAAATGAAGTAAATTCACTTTTCTTCACCTCATAGTCAACAAAAAATACAAATGATTAAGCCATAATATATACTGTAACTGGAATTAATCACTGGCAGTCCAAAAATATAAATGAAAACTGAACAATGTTCAAATTCACCTAGAACCATTATCAAGTTGCAAGTGAAAAGTTCAAAAGTAAGGATCATATATAAAGTAAAGTTTAATATCAGGAGAGTAAAGGGGGTTTAAAAGATTCTTTACACTGGATAAAAAAAATAGGATGTTACAGAATTTTTCTCTTGGGAAAGAGTTCTGCTAACTAAAGCAAAGGGTATTTAAATCAAATTACAGAATGAGCGAGGCTCAAACCAATGGCACGAGTTTTAGGCCTCAATAGACATGGGTTCAAACTCGACTCGCACTGATTCATTTGCAATTATGATTTCACAAGTCAAAGGCTATTTCCTGCATTTAAAAATACAAATTTAAGATATTAGATCATTAACTAGAAGACAAAACCAAAATATCAAATAGCAACATGCATCATAATGAAAATATTAGTTACTAAGTTCCTGCATCCCTTCTAAATTAACTGATAATCATGTCACAACTGTGTGCCTACACCCAGCGCAAAATGCAACAATGCAAATTATTCGTACTGCATGTGAAACATTAGTAATGAAAACTGCATCTAATAAATATCTTAACTTACTTGGGAATACAGCCATCCCTACAAATGTATGAAGACAAAATTCTGTTTGTACAAACTTGGTTTCAAATTTGAGATCATTTTGCATTTCATAGACCCTATCTGCACATGTCACTAATCTGGTTAATATTAACATGTGTAGGAAAACAAAAAATGCTAGGCATGCTAAAGCCACTTAGCCAATGAAATGAATAAATCAATTTATTCACTGGTTGCCCATTCTTAAAAAAATGTTTGAAAATCAAAAGCTGCAAATTTGTAGGGAAGTGTGCACAACAGAGAAAAAAAAACTGAAGGGTAGTCATTAAAATTGAAGGAAAATTAAAGAAATCCAACATTTTTAAATGAAGTCAAACAATTTAACCCCTTCATTGCGCAGACCCTCAAATTTAATATTGCTCTCAGTGTCCACTGTTTAACCCTTTGACTGTTTCGGTCACATATATAAGTCTTACGAGCCACCGTGTTGGATGTATATATACTCAAATTCAAGCGGCTTCAAATCAAGCAGGAGAAAGCTGGTAGGCCCACGTGTGAGAGAATGAGTCTGTGTGGACCATATAAAAAAAATCCTGCAGCACGCAGTGCACGAAAAAAAAAATCAACCTTTTTTTTTTTAATTAAAACGCCGACTTTGTGGTCTATTTTCATATAGTATTTATGGTTGTATTCTCATTTTCTTGGTATCATTTGATAGGATGGAAAACATATTATAGGAACAGAGGTGATTTTGATTGGTTTTACTAGGAAAAGAACCTTGAAATGGAGCTCAAACTAGGGGAAATGTCTGATTTTTGCCTATGTTCAAAAGTAAATAAATGATGTCATTATCCAATAAATGTCCAAGTAGCCATTCTAATATGCAGTCATGAATGGGTTGGCATTATTTATACAATTATTACAATATTGCAATAGTCTGCATAACAGTAAATCTTCTATTTTTTGTTTGAATAAGAATTCAAAATAGAAAGCAAGAGTAGTATCAGAGGGGCCTGGAGACGTGACTGATGAACAAAGAAAATGTTATTTTAGAGCCAGGAATGTCTGCATTGTTCATTCTGGACCCCAATTTTGAAATTGGCATATTTTTTAATTTGCGTGAAATTGGCCAAATTGCCAATTTCTGACCACCATTGGGTAGTTGAAATCGGTAAATGGTGGTTTCTTGTATTCAATCAATAGAACAAATGAAGTTCTAAATAGTTACGAGTTTGCTTGACTGGAACGATGGAATTAGCCAAAAATAGGGCTCAAAGTGGGGGAAATCGCCGATTCGTTAATATTGCTGAGGTCACTAACTTTGCAAGAGTGTAATTCCGTAAGCTTTCCATCAAATTTCGTACTTTTGGTGACATTACCATTGGGAAAAGATTCTCTATCATTTCATAAGATTTTTTTTTTTTTAATTTTTGCGACACCAGGAGACACTTCAGGATTTGGGGTTGCAACAGTCAAGGGGTTAAGAAAATTTTTTTTTCCTGAAATGGTAGATAATCTTTTTCTGAAAGTAATGACAGTACAAAATCTGATGGAAAACTTAGAGCTACACAGACACCAAGTTAACAGTCTGAAAATTCCCGAGAAAACAAACAATAACGTTGTAGAGAATGTTTCAAAAAACAAGTCTCCACAGTTGAAGTACAGTGCCTGCACTGAAGAAGGGGCAGGAATATTTGCAGTTTTAAAAACTAGCATTAGTATGCCTCAAGCAAAACAGTGATGGAGTGAGTAGTGAAAGTTTACAGTTGTTTTTGGGTCACCCTGCCTCAATGGCAGATGGCTGGTGTTAATAATAATAAATAATAAAAAATAATAATATAATATTTTATTATTAACACACTGGCCGATTCCCACCAAGGCAGGGTGGCCCGAAAAAGAAAAACTTTCACCATCATTCACTCCATCACTGTCTTGCCAGAAGGGTGCTTTACACTACAGTTTTTAACCCTTAAATGGTCCAAACAAATCGATGTTCAAATTCGTAGTGCTACAAAAGTAGATCTACTTTTTTTTAACATTTTCAAATGTAACAAAAAAATGTAGATAAGTTTTTTTTTTTTTACACATTTTCAAATGTAAAACAAAAAAGAAGATCTACATTTTTTTACATACTTTCAGATGTTGAAAAAACATATACTACATACGTTTGGACCATTTAAGGGTTAAACTGCAACATTATTATTAATAATAATTAATAATAATAATTAATAATAATTAATAATAATAATAAGATCTACATTTTTTTACATACTTTCAGATGTTGAAAAAACGTATATATACGTTTGGACCATTTAACCCTTTGACTGTTTTCGACGTATAAATTACGTCTTACGAGACAATGTTTCTGACGTATATATACTCAATAACTCTAGCGGCTTCAAATCAAGCGGGAGAAAGCTGGTAGGCCCACATGTGAGAGAATGGGTCTGTGTGGTCAGTGCACACCACAAAAAAAATCCTGCAGCACACATTGCGTAATGAGAAAAAAAAAACTGATCGTTTTTTTGGAATAAAACGCCGACTTTGAGGTGTATTTTCGTATAGTATTTATCGTTGTATTCGCATTTTCATGGTCTTAGGTGATAAAATGGAAAACATATTACAGAAATAGAGATGATATTCATTACTTTGACGATGAAAACGACCTTGAAACTGAGCTCAAAGTAGCGGAAATGTTCGATTTTTACCAATGTTCAGGAGTAAATAAATCACACCACACGTCCAATACACGTCAACTGAGGAGTCTAATATTCTTTCACTAGTGCACTGATATTATTTATACCATTTTTACAATAATGCAGTAGTCTGCATAACAGTAAATTTTGTATTTTTTTGTATAAATAAAAAATCAAAATAGAAAGCAATAATAATATAAGAGGGGCCTAGAGATGTGACTAATGAACAGAGCATATGTTATTTTAGTGCCACGAATGTCTACCTTGTTTATTCTGGACCCAATTTTGAAATTGGCATCTTTTTTAGTTTGCGTGAAATTGGCCAAACTGCCAATTTCTGACCACCAAATTGGGTAGCCCAAATTAGTAAATGGGAGGTTTCTTGTACTCAGCTGATAGTTAAAATGGAGTTCTAAAGAAATAGCTATGAGTTTGGTCAACTGGAACAATGGAATTGGCTGAAAATAATCCTCAAAGTCGGCAAAATCGCCGATACGCATATGTCGCGAAGACCGCTAACTTCCCGGGAGCATAATTCCATGAGTTTTCGACCAAATCTCGAACTTTTGGTGTCATTACCATCGGGAAAAGATTCTCGATCATTTCATAAGAAATTTTTTTGTTTTTTTCAAAATTGAGCGACATAGAATGACAGTTTCAGAAAGGGGCCTGAAACAGTCAAAGGGTTAAGGGTTAAACTGCAACATTATTAATAATAATTAATAATAATTAATAATAATAATAAATATTAATTTTTTTTTATTATCACACTGGCCGATTCCCACCAAGGCAGGGTGGCCCGAAAAAGAAAAACTTTCACCATCATTCACTCCATCACTGTCTTGCCAGAAGGTGCTTTACACTACAGTTTTTAAACTGCAACATTAACACCCCTCCTTCAGAGTGCAGGCACTGTACTTCCCATCTCCAGGACTCAAGTCCGGCCTGCCGGTTTCCCTGAACCCCTTCATAAAAAGTTACTTTGCTCACACTCCAACAGCAGTCAAGTATTAAAAACCATTTGTCTCCATTCACTCCTATCACACACTCACGCATGCCTGCTGGAAATCCAAGCCCCTCCCACACAAAACCTCCTTTACCCCTCCCTCCAACCTTTCCCAGGCCAACCCCTACCCCGCCTTCCTTCCACTACAGACTGATACACTCTTGAAGTCACTTGTTTCGCTCCATTCTCTCTACATGTCCGAACCACCTCAACAACCCTTTCCCCAGCCTCTGGACAACAGTTTTGGTAATCCTGCACCTCCTCCTAACTTCCAAACTACAAAAATTTTCTGCATTATATTCACACCACACATTGCCCTCAGACATAACATCTCCCCTGCCTCCAGCCTTCTCCACCGCTGCAACATTCAATCACCCATGCTTCACACCCATATAAGAGCGTTTTAATAAAAAATATACTCTCAAAACATTCCCCTCTTTTCCTCCAAGGACAAAGTTCTTTGTCTCC